TGGAGTGTGTCAGCAGTTCCTGCAAGATGAAGGCATTGATGCTATGGACTGGCCCGCCCATTCCTCAGACCTATATCCCATTGAGCACATCTGGGACATCATGTCCCGCTCTATCCACCAATGCCATGTTGCAACACAGACTGTCCAGGAGTTGGGGGATGCTTTAGTCCAAGTGTGGGAGGAGATCCCACAGGAGACCATCCACCACCTCATCAGGAGCACGCCCAGGAGTTCTAGGGAGGTTATACAGACACGTGGAGGCCACACACACTACTGAGCCTCATTTTGACTTGTTTTAAGGACATTACATCAAAGTTGGACAGTCTGTAGTGGTTTTTTCCACTTTAATTTTGAGTTTAACTCCAAATCCAGAGCTCCATGGGTTGCTAAATTTGATTTCCATTGATAATTTTTGTGTGATTTTGTTGTCAGCACATTCAACTATGTAATGAACAATGTATTTAATAAGAATATCTCATTCATTCAGATCTAGGATGCCTTATTTTTGTGTTCCCTTTATTTTTTTGAGCAGTGTATATCTGGCAGGGAAAGAAACCAAGAATAAAACTTGAACTGCTACAAGATGCAAAAATAAGAGGAGAGTTTGCCTTGCCTAACTGGGAGGTATATTACCAGGTGACAAGTTTGATGTGGGTAAAGGAATGGATAACATTAAGAAATACTAGAATACTGACTTTAGAAGGGCATGACTTGCTGCTAGGATGGCATGCTTTCCTTTGGTATAAGGGAACTAAAACACAGGAGTACTCTAGAAGACATTATATTCAAGAGGCACTGTTTTTGAACTGACAATATTATTTTAAAGACAATATTATTTTAAAAATCCATTATGGATATCTACTATTGAAGCTTTTTCCTATCCAGTAATATATAAAAAGGAACAGTTAGATATGGTGAGATACTGAATGAAAAGTGTGAACTTAAATCTATCCAAGCATTGGAAGAACAAGGTGTAAAAATGAATTGATTTTCATATTTGCAAGTACAATCTAGATTTGATAAAGATTTTAAAATAGAAGGTATTTATGATAAGTTGACTGATTTAGATAAAATTTTGATCGGTACTGATGACAAGGTAATTAAAAACTTTATGGACATTTATTAGAATTTAAACGGGAAGAAGAACAAGTTAAAGAAAGGATGATTGCTTGGGGGAAATTTTTTGGATATGGGATTGATTTAGAGAAATGGCAAAAATTGTGGTCTCAAAATTATAAAATGACAATGTCAACTCCGTATAAAGAAAATTTGTATAAGATGTTTTACAGGTGGCATCTACCCCAGATGAGAATTGCAAGAATGTTTAAGAATAAATTGGATAAATGTTGGAAATGTCATCAGATACCTGGCTCATATTACCATATGTGGTGGATGTGTTCGGATGCAAAAAAAATTGGACTAAAATCCACACATGGTTGGAAAAAATGATAAAACAACACATAGACTATAAACCAGAGATTTTTTTTTTTAAATTGGGAATTATATCGGAAATATACAATAAAGAATTGAAGTATTTGATTGTAAATATTTTAACAGCAGCTAGAATTGTGCTTGCTAAGAATTGGAAAAATGATAAAATACCTATGCAGGAGGAAGTTATTAAGAAAATTATGGGCTGTGCTGAAATGAGTAAATTGACATTTGAAATTAGAGAACAAGAAGATAAACAATTTTATATGATATGGGATTTGTTTTATCAATGGTTGGACAAAAAGATACGGTAATGTAATAGATTTGATGACTTTGTAATAGGTTTAATAGCTAGATATAAAATATAATATAGACATATATAACCATTGGATGAAAGAATTACATAAATTTTAAAATGAAATTTGAAATATCTCATATAAAGTGATAGAATAAATAGTTTGGTCATGGATGATTAATAATTGATAAATATATAAGCATATGTTAGCTTGATAATGTGGAAATTTATATAAATTGAGAAATGATTACAAAAGGATAGCACAAAAGATTTGTAACCAACTGACACACTGTATGTATATAAGATGGAAGATGGTTTTTATGTTTTTATGTTTTGTTTGTATATGTTTGTCTTAAAAAATAAAAACTTTTTTAAAAAAATGAATGCCATTTCCGAGACACGATTTGCCAGAGGTTTGACCGAAAGGGACACATTGTGAGAGCCTGCAGAGCTGCACAGCCCAACAGCCAATGCCAGAGGAATCCAAGCTCACCACCACAAGCCAGAGCAAGCCAGACTGGAAGCAGGAGAAGTAACTTCAGCTGGAGCAGAAGAAATGACGAGCTGGCCACTGAGAGAGGCGAAATGCACCAGACAGTGACCGTGAGCCATTCCAGCATAACCAACGCACAAAAGGTACATGTACAATTAAACGTTGAAGGGAAATCATGCCAGATGGAAGTAGATTCCAGGTCATACCTATCCATGGTCTCCTGGAATATCATCAAGCAATTAATCCCTGGCGTAACCAGAGCTAAACTAAAACAACAGAGACTAATTATAAAAGACTATCAAGGGAATCGTATTCCAGTGATAGGGAGCAGCAAGATCCAAATGAGCTTCAAGAACTTCTCTGGTCACCTACCCCTCATTATAGTAGACCAGGACAGACCCAGCCTGCTGGGGCTAGAATGGTTCAAGCCCTTGGAGATCAAGGTTGCCGAAATAAACAGCATCACCAAAACCGAGTGGGAAGACAGCCTTATGGAAGAATCCTGGGATGTTTTCAACTGACAATTAGGTAAGTACTTGGGGAACCCCATTTCATTTAACTTACACCCCAACATTGCCCTGATCTGGATACAGCCGAGACGAGTCCCATTTGCTCTACGGCCAAAGATTGACAAGCAATTAGATAAACTCATTGCCTAGGGGATCTTGGAACCAACCGACCACGCAAAATGGGACACCCCAATAGTTACACCTATTAAGCCAGATGGGTTGGTGCGCATATAAGGCCACCCTGAACCACGCATTGCAGCAATACCTCGTCCCAGTGGTGCAATACCTTTTACATTCCCTGGAGCGGGGAAAAATATTTGCTAAGCTCAACCTTGCCCAAGCCCACCAGCAATTACCAGTAGATGAAGAAATGGTGGAAGCCAAAACAATTGTCAGACATAGGGGGGCATTCAAATGCAAACGTTTGCAATTTGGGGTAAGCGTAGCCCCAGAGTTCTTCCAGAGCCTAATGGAGTGCCTCCTGCAAGGACTAGAGGGTATTGTGCCCTACTTCGATGATATCCTGATATCAGCCAGGGACAAAGGCCAATTAAAAAAATGCTTAAGGGCAGTGCTGAGCCATTTCCAAAAGGTGGGCCTAAAAGGAGAAAAAGGAAAAATGCAAACTAGCAACAAAAAAGGTGGAGTTTTTGGGATACTTGATTGACAGTTCTGGCATATACCCCACCGAAAGCAAATTAAAGGTAATCAAAGAAGCCCCCACACCGAAAAATAAAACTGATCTACAAGCCTTCTCGGGATTTCTTAACTTCTATAATATATTTCTACCACAGAAAGCAATGATTGTGGAACCTTTACACAGATTGCTTGACAAAAAAGCAGTCTGGACATGGGGGCAGAAGGAAGAAACAGCATTTAAATGAATCAGAAATATTTTAACATCAGACAGCATACAGCAAAATGCTTCCCTTGAGTCTAATGTGCGACGCATCACCATTCGAAATAGGCACAATAATCAGCCACACACTTCTGGACAGGAAAGAAGCCCTCATACCCTTCCACTCAAAAACACTATCCAAGACAGAATGAAATTATAGCCAACTCAACAAGGAAGCATTGTCCGCGGTAACAGGAATTAAACACTTCCACGAATATGTGTACGGGAGGAGGTTCATCCTGGTCACAGGTCACAAGCTGCTACTGGGAATAATTGCAGGAGACCGGGCCACACCAAACATCCTGTCACCGAGAATGACCAGATGAATGGGATTCCTATTGGCACACAACTACAAACTAATACACAGACCCAGGGTAAGGAGTGAGAGTATGGCCTCTAGTGGAAACAAGATGGCCGCACCCACTGAGATCTTCGAGGAGGTTCCAACAGGAGAATCCAGAGAGACTATGGACCCTTCTGAACAGACCGCAAACCCAGAGATGACTGAGCTGCGCAGGTCAGGTCGCACCCATAAGAGCCCCGCCTACTTATGGGACTACGTTCACTAGAGAGTGCCAGATTGGTGGTTCTGAACCAGTGGGGAGGAGTGTTAGATATTTGCATACTGACCTGTAATTGGCTGAGCCGCAGAAGCAGGAAAAACAAACGTCTGTCAATAGCTGAAACTGCGGACAGCTCCGCTGTAAAAGGAACAGCCATGGCTAGGTTTCTTCAGTGTTGTATGGAAGCAAATAAAGAGTTTTACTAATCTGAGCATCCTGTGTCTTCACTCTGCCCACGATCTAATAGTATTACTATCCTTTATTATGATATTATTAAGTAAGTGAACTTTTGAAAATGATGAATTATGTACTATTGTTTCCATTCAGAAAGAAGTCACTCTGAGTTCAATTGAATAAGCTCCATTGAAACATGGAATGGGAGCTATAAACACCACCAATCAACAGAAAGGGGCTTTTGGGGTTTTAAAGAAATTGTTTTTTAAATATTGTGGTTCTGAGGTAAGTATTTCATTTTAGCCATAAAATAACCTACCAATAATTAAGTTAAAATTATAAACCAAATCATAAAATGGCATTTGGTATAAGTGTCATATGAATATATGCTATATTTTAAATGTTTCTGTCCACATTGGTAATTCCATGCCCACTTGAGAATAATCATGATGAAAATATGAAGTGCAGCAGGTGATGTGGCAAGTCAATGGCTGTTCTTGTGTTAAAACATGATTAAGTAAATCAGGGCATTTTCTCTAAAATCAACTTATTAGAAAAGCCATTTTTCTCATGGAATTTTCTCTACCATGCAATGAAAGATCATTTGTAAATTTCTTCCTTTTTCTTTCATGTATAGAGGTACTGGTGTTTGGAGGTGATGTCTTGAAATTTGCAGGTATGAATGTGAAAAATAAAAGGAAGTGATTTTATTTTTGCATATCAAAAATCATTTTTTCTTTTATTGTGTTAGTTTACATTTTTTTCAATACCATGATATTTATATAATACACTTTTTAAAAAATTGTATTGTTTAGTTATCCTAGATCAGGGGTGTCAAACTCGATTTCATTGAGGGCTGCATCAGGGTTGTGTTTGACCTTGGAAGGCTGGGGTAGGCATGACCGGGGTGGGCATGGACAGCATGTTTTCACTTGTGTCTGTGATGGACTGAGTGCTCTGCCAGCGAAAATGGGCTCCTGAGCTCAGTTTTCAGCTGCGACGACCTCCTGCAATCCTCTGCCAGTGAAAAGAGAACTTGGGAGGGCTGCACTCTGTTTTTGTTGGCGGAGTGTTCTGACATAAAACCCTTTTCCAATAAGACAAACAATAATTAAAGGGAACAGAAACTTTTTAATGAGTCTTACGAATTCCCAGTTAAAAGGCTACTGCAAACTAATTAACTTTGATAAGCACAAACCTTGTCAAAACTGTATGAGACTGCCAAAAATCACAGATAAGAAATATTTCACAACACAAGAATCCAACATAAGATACTGCAATGTCCACGAGGCTGAGTTTCAAAATGTCTTTGCTTCCTGAAAAAAAAGTTCTCTTCACAGCTGGCTTTTATCTTCTTGAAGGAGGGGCCATTACCTTGCAGCCTTATTCCCGACTTGCCCGTGCTGTTGAACTGCTCTTTCCTGCGAGCAATCCTGCATGCACACGCACTTGGCACAGGCTCCTCAGGAACCTCCTCATCCCTGCTGCGAGTCCCCACAATCTCTGAAGGCAGTAGTCCACTCCCTAATGGTCTTGGCCCCTCATCTGAGTCCTCATTCTCCTCAGTCATCCGCACCTGCTTTTGGCTAACCACAACACAGAGGCACCTCGGACCAGTCTTTCACTGTTTCCAGGATGGCCCCACAAGCCAGATCTAAGCACCCTGTGGGCCAGATCCAGCCTGCAGGCCTTGAGTTTGACACCCCTGTCCTAGAATATGCGTTATAAAAATATAAAAAAGAGGATAAAAGGTGGACATTCTACCATTATTAATTATAGTTTAGGATATCGGTGCTATGAGTGTTAGGATTATTTGGCTTTTTTATTCAAAGTTTAATATAGCTTTGGACATACTGTACATCAAGGTATTGGTTATGCAGTATAATAAAGGATTTGTTCTCAGGCTAAATTATTTGATTTTGAAATTTCCATTGTATTATTATTATTATTAGGTACATCTCTTTGTATGAATATTTGTATATGTTTACACATATTAATGGAAAGAAAAAATAGATGTTTAACAAATGTAAAATATTAAAAAGTAAGAAAGAAAAAAGGTCAAAAAATAAAAAAAAATAAAATAATGAAAAAAAAGCTGTTAGTCTCTCTACTTTTAACTCTCTCATCTGTAATCCCCTTTTCTGTTGCTTTCTAATATTATACTTATCTTTCAAATTATTCTTCTTCTTTTTGGTTTTCTTTTCTAGTCTTAAACCTTTCACTCTCTTTCCCCCCTTTTCTCCCCCCCCACTTAAAATTATTTGGTCATTAAAGATGGCTTCTTCTTTGTCCCAATCTTATTGTTCTGCAAGAGTTTCTTGTTGTTTCTCATAGTTCTAGATATCCATTTCTAAGAATTGAAATACAAAGCCAAAAGAACCTCTCCCTTCTTGTGCATCTTCTTTCCATTTTTTAAGCTCCATTTTCAGTTCTTCTAAGAGTGATACCATTTTAAAGACTTTTAAACAACCACCCGGTTAATTTTAGTCATCCAGATGCAAAAACCAAAAACCATCAAGTAATCCAAATAATCCAAGGCTGTTTCTTTCTTCTTTTTTCCACTTTCTCTTCCTGGGGTTCTATTATTTTGTTACCAAGTTTCAATTAAGACATATCTTTGAGGAATCTTGTTAAAATTTCACTGTAAGCTCCTTTTAGTTACAGTTCCATTCCTTAGTTCCAGGCAGTCTCCTCCATTTTTCCAGATCCTGCCCTTTTATTCTTTTTTTTTCTCCTTTCCTGCTTTTAAAAACTTTTAAATATTCAGAAATCTTTATTATCCCTTTGACTTTTATTTTCAGCTTAGATGCCTATTAATGTCGAAGTGGATTTTTTTCAATTTCTTGCTTAAGTCTCTTAGCTGTCAGTATAAGGAAGGGAAGAAAAAAAACCCTAATCCTTTCCCTTCTCTCTCTCCTTCGCAGCTTCAAAATCATCTTTGGGAACAATGTTATTTAATTTAAATTCCAGGGTACCTTACTGTTGTGATTCCGGCATCAGCTACAGGTTTTTTGAATGAAAGCTCCAGCGAGGAGGACTTGTATGAATCAGCAAGTTTTAGTGATTTCAATGAAGAGGAGGAGACGAATGTTACAAGGGAGGACACATTTGATTTGCAGGACCGGCCTGAACCTTCAACCTCCTCTGCTTCTCAATCAGGTTATCAGCCGGGAACGGCTGACAATGAGGAACTTATGGAGACTTCAGGTGAAGATAATAATTTAGATGATTGCTGGGTGGATGTCAGAAGCAGGCGTCTCCTTACGAGAAGAAACCAACGGGAGCACAGGAGGAGGGCAGATCAGTAATTAGACTAATTAGCTGCTGCTCTATAAAGGGAGAGAGATGACTTTGCACTCTGTCCGGAACAAACTGTTTGTTTGCAAGGAGAACCGAAGATTTTGGCTTGGAGGATTTAAACCTGAAATATCTTGTTGGGACTTGGATTTATTTCCTTGGAACTATTAACTTGGACTATCTTGTGGAGGCTAACTACAGCTGTTATCAGTGAAGATTCCTGTTTGCTGCCTTTATCTGCGAGGACTGCTGCGTTCAGCCTTATCTGTTTATTTTGGAAGGTGGGACATAACACCTTACGTTGTTGCTTTTTCAGTTTAACCCAGTCGACCAAAACTTTATCCTCTTATCTTCCTCCTGCACATTCTTTTCCGGTCGAGTTCTTCTTTGTGGTGGCCATTTCTGACCACCGCTACACCGCCTTTGGGAAAGCGAGTAATGGCCAGCTGGGGAGGAGAGATATGGCTCTCCTCAACCCTGCAGGCAGTCTCCCCCTTCTTCACTACTTCTATGGGGTGGCTTAGACCCAAAGCCAGCCGGCTCGGGGTGCTCCAGCGGCGAGTACGGATCGAAGCCTCGCAGAGATGAGGTTTCGGTCTGTCGCCGAAGAAGCTCAAACCGGAAGTCCCCATTTAAAATTTATTCTTGTTGTTATAAGTATAGTTATTATTAAATTATAATATTTATTGTTTATTTTTATGAGATTATTTCTGATAAGAAAAGCTGTGGTTTCATTTCAATTTTAAATTCCATTTTTTTTTTGCATTGTATCATGTCTTTCCAATTTTGAGCTTGTTTTTACTGGTCTATCACATGTAATAATGGATTCCAATAAACATTTGTGGTGGAATCAGATAAAATTTGCTGACTGGAAGAAGTGTTGGATGTTAGGTGCTGTGTGTGGTGTTTTTTTTTTAATCTCTTGGTGTGTGTATGTTTTAAAAGAGCAGTTAATGTTTCCTTTTTACTTCATAGATGAATTAAAAAGACTTTTCAAGCAAAAGTGCATAATTTGAGAAAACCAAGTTTTAGGTGAATAGAGAACCATGTGTTCTTGTGTAAGAACAGTCTTTTCCCATTTGAATGTTTCTCCCCAAATTGGATGTGCTTATCTCACATCGTCTCTGAAGCTGCCACCATTAGTTCTGCTATTATTTCACCATGCTGAACCCTTGCACACCCTCCTATATCCTGCAGCAGATAGCAGCACCCTCCTATCCCAAGCCTGGCCACTCTCATACTGTACCGCACCAATCCCTTGTGCACCATCCTGCACCTGGCAACAACCACTTATCTGCCTCCTAGCCTCCTTGTAAGCTACCTGGGACTTACAACTTTCCAGAGAAGACAAAGATTTTACTCCATGAATACAAGCTAGAAAGAGTGGCTTAAACTTAACAGTTAATTGAAATTAGGATGGATTTCTGAGTTTGCTGTGTTCTGCTTGATTGGTGTTTCTAATATCTTCTGTCTGTTTTGCAGCTTTTTTTGATTGGCTGGCAACATTGTGTTTCCTGTATTGGAGGCTTTTAATGCGGCTTGGCTCCGAGTAAATGGATGGCTATCATTTATTAGGAAGCTAAGTTTCATCTGGGTGCCTGGTTGGGGTGTGTTTGAGCTGGAGGTATCAGGAGGGATCTGTTTGTGCCCAGGTGTTTGCCTGGCTTGTGGTGTGGAGATTTTTTTGTTTGAGAGTGCAGGCTTCAAGATAATTGACAGTCTGGTGGAGTCATCTCTTCTATTCATGCTTTCAGATCTTCTTTCAATCTCTATGGCTTCTCTGATAATTCTGTAGCTGGCGTTTTCTATAGTGGCTAGGGTTTTGGTGCCATAGGGTTTTGGTGCCATTGTTACTATACAGGCATCACATCAAGACTGCCTTCAAAACAGACAGGAAAATAGCAGCCATCCTAAGAAACCCCAAAGATAAAATTGACCTGGAAAACCAAGGCATATATGAAGTCCCCTGTGCATCATGCCCTGCCACATACATTGGACAGATCAATAAAAGAATAAGTACCTGCCTAGATGAATACAAAAATGCAGTAAAAAAGCTGGAACACACTTCCTCACTAGTCCAACACATGAAAGCCACAGGTCATAGCGTCGACTTCAATGGCACTAAAACCCTAGCCACTATAGAAAACCCCAGCTACAGAATTATCAGAGAAGCCATCAAGATTGAAAGAAGACCTGAAAGCATGAATAGAAGAGATGACTCCACCAGACTGTCAATTATCTGGAAGGCTGCACATTCAACATAGCTTTAACTCTTTTGGGTATATTAGGGAGTTCAGATTGTTGTATTTTCTAGAATTTTCTCCTGATCATACAGTTTCCCATAATACTCTTTTATTATTATTATTTTATCCTCATTCT